CCAACGTGCAGATCCTAGTTGATAAGGGGTTCTATCGGACCAAAGTGGTACCGTGAACCCAGCAACAAAAACATCCTGGTCCATTTCCGGTCGGCGCATCCCCTCAAAACAAAACGGGCTATCAACAACAAGCATGTTCAGGACGGCTAATACAGTTTCTTCAGGCAGTCAGGAGAAAGCGGAGTCCTTGGAGCTCGCCCAGAACATTTCCCTTTCCAAAGGTTATCGCCCAAGCGCTGAATGCCTGCTCCACCACCCTGTAGGAGGCAAGAGGGCTCGGAAGTCGAGCAGTCTCAAGAGGAGCCCTTGCTTGCCCTTTGTGAGCGAGCGATCAGCTCTGCCGTCGCTACGGGCTGAATACATTGGTGAAACGGACGACTTAGGTACAGAATCAGAGAACACCTAGATGGCTCAGAAAGGTCAAGACCGAAGATCCCCTGGGAGCTCACAGAAAGCAGTGCCATGGAGGTTCGGAGTTCGAGGATACTGTAAGGATTTGATGCGAGAGCCCCAGACCTCAGCACGCAAAACTTTGGAGGCCTTTTGGATACGCGCTAAAGGTCCAAAAATGAACAAGAAAGACGAGTGCCTCGCCATTACAAACGAGCTCGCCCCGTTCGTTGACCTGTGGGCTTCGATCGCCATCGGCTTCAGGCCTGGCGATCGAAACCCACAGGTCATCGAGCGCGAGGGACTGGTCATCTGAAGCTACCCACTGTGAGTCAGTCTAGCGGTGGTCTCAACAAGACCAACCGTATGTCCCGAGGTGAATTTTTGCGTTTCTGATCTGCGATACCTTCCTAGATGCGCTGATCTACGAACTATTTCTAAGTTTGAAATGATTTGTGAGGATTGAATCACTGATCTTCAACTTCCAGGCTCTGACGAAGGCGACTAGCCGAAACGTAAGCCCAATAAAGTGATTTAACACCTTGGCTGTGGCTACAGAAATCATTGAAGTTGTATAGTAGTTCTGAAACGCTATTAACTAGGAGCGGGAATGTCTTCGCAATGCTGCAACTTTCTATTAGAGTCGAATAGAACCCCCTCCCCACCTTCCTCTCCCAACGAAAAGCAAATACATTTCCCCACCCGTTGGAACTCCCATGTAAGTGGCACGTCAAACAGGGAAAATCAACTATCAAAAAATTTTCTTGGAATAAATACGACCCCACTCCGTTGGTGGATCCCTTGCTGTGGTCGCGCGTCATCGCGAAGTCTAAACGCTGCCTAGTGCCCTCGCACTGCCTTTCTACTGACTGTGCTTGACTTCATGTCGCCTCCCAGCTATTCCCCTATCCTAAGAAATCCCCATAGCTATCAACCTTGTCAGAATCTTTCTCGTATTTCCTATTTGAAGCATCAAATAGCACATTCCAGCATTCTTGATGATCAGGCCATCTGGTTCAAACGAAATCACGGAACACTGTGGTGATGAAATGTCTGTCGAAGTGCGACAAGCATTGCTGGACAATCACAACCGAGAACGATCGCGAGTAGCAAAAGGAAATTACACCATAAAAGCACCCGGAAGCGGATTATCAAGACTCCCGCCCGCCAAGCGGATGTATCAGTTGGTGAGTTCAATGGATGCGACCAGATGTGGACCAGTCAACACGTCCTTACCAAGCATGATATAGGAAAAAGGTACGCGGGTGGGGAGGCACAGTAGCCGTAGATCTCCGCCCACTCGTTCATCGTGGAACATTTTCGCGCTCGTTGGCTGACTCTGCTCCATAAGTTTGTTGATGACGTATTCCGCGATGAACGAGTAGACGGAGATCTACACCTACTGTGCCTTCCTCATTAGCCCACCTTTCCTCTAACCGGTTCGGAGAAGAGTGCACATATGAGAAAGTCACAGTGGTAGTGAGTACCTGCCCATCATGCACTCATGGAATGGGCGCTGATGCAGCAAAGGTGTGGGGGTCACTACTCGTAGTCATTACGTCACATGCTGCGTAAATGACGTTTCTTGGGACACCACTGACAGGTTTCCTCGTCACTTATACGTTAGGTGGCACGTTAATCCCAATTTTCAACTGATAGCGAATTGGGACGCAGGTGCAGAAGTGCTCTGGTGTAAGCACGAGTTTCCACAATCTATCCGTTCCGGAGCTCTTTCGTGGCTCAGATAGGTATGTGTCTTCTTTCGAAAAGCGGACCTGTGCTACACCACACAAGACCTGGGCCTACCCTTGCTGAAAATCCAGTGCTCGGGACTTCATGCGTTTTTCAATCACTTTCAGAAGTACAACTGCTCTCTGGAGAGGTCTGCACGGAAATGGGTTCAACAGGCGCAATGCCAAATCGTTCACTCGAATTGGCATGTCGGCGAAAATATCTACGTTTCGGCCGATTTTAGCGACATGAAGTATGT